GCTAAATGGAGATTGGCCTTGTCAAGATGTTACTCCTGGTCTGTAGGAGTATTATTAGGAAATAATGGTAGTTCTTATTAGAAATTTCAGTTATGTTTTTTTCTTGGGATTTCCGTTACTTTTTTTTTATTTAAGTAGCATCGTTTTTATCAATAAGATATGTAGTAAAAGTTCAGTTTTTTCCTCTGCTCTTATACATGCAATTGCTCCAACATTGTGGTATCAAAGCCAGGTTAACAGCAGAGTGTAAACACGAGAGAAAACGAGAGCGATGTCTACCGGGAGCGGGAACATGAGTTCTGCATCAGGGGCTGCATAACCCCTTATTCCCGTATTCAAAGGTGAAGGCTATGAGTTCTGGAGCATTCGAATGAAGACTCTGCTGCGATCACAGGACCTATGGGAATTTGTTGAGGTCGGTTACAATGAACAAGACGAAGATTCAACAAGATTAAGAGAGAATAGAAAGAAGGATGCCAAAGCAACAGCAATTATACAGCAGGCTATTCATGACAACGTTTTTTCCCGCATAGCCGCCGCTACATCAGCAAAAGCCACTTGGACTCTCTTGCAAACAGAGTATCAAGGGGACTCGAAGGTCATGATGGTAAAACTACAGGTGTTGAGACGGGAGTTCGAGACGATGTCAATGAAAGGAGATGAAACAGTTGCTGATTTCCTATCACGAGTGATGAGAATTGTTAATAAAAAACGAGCCTATGGTGAAGTTATTACTGATCAAAAGGTGGTGGAGAAAGTCTTGAGAAGTCTTCCTCCACGATGGGACCATGTTGTCACAACAATAGAAGAGTCAAAAGACTTGGCCACACTCTCATTTGATCAGCTCATGGGGTCACTGCAGTCTCATGAGTCTCGAGTGAATAGAGGTATGGAAAAAGATGAGGAAAGGGCGTTTCAAGCAAGAGAAGAGGACTTCTCTCCCCCAACAAGAGGACGAGGAAGAGGTTTTGTGCGTGGTAGAGGACGTGGTCGTCCTGGCGGTAGAGGACGAGGACGAAGTAGAATTCAGTGCTACAACTGCAATCGTTTTGGGCATGTGAAAGCAGATTGCTGGTACGATCAACAAGCAAATGCAGCAATGGAAAATGTTGATGAGGCAGAAGAAGATGAGTACAGGCTGTTTATGGCTGGTGGACAAGTTGAAGGAAAGGGGAACATACTTCTAAATGTAGCAACTTGTGGTTTCTTGATAGCTGGTGCTCTAATCATATGACGGAACCCGATCAATCTTTCAAAAATTGGACGAAAAAATGAAAGTGCAGGTTCAGTTGGGAAATGGAAAGCACATTCAAGTTGAAGGAAAGGGGAACATACTTCTAAATGTACCAGATGGGAAGTTCAAAACCCTCTGTGATGTGCAGTTTGCACCTGAGCTTGATTACAACCTACTGAGTGTAGGCTAACTAATGAGCTCGGGGTACTCACTCTTGTTTGATGATGGCGCATGCACGATAAAGAAGAAGAGTTCTGATCAAGTTGTATGTCGAGTAAAGATGACTAATAATAAGCTCTTTCCACTTAATGTCGAAAAAGATCATGAGTGCGCTCTCACAACAACCAGCACAGAAGACTCAAAGCTTTGGCATCTCCGGTATGGTCACCTTCATGCGAGAGGGTTRAAACTTCTAAGTGACAAGAATATGGTGAATGGTTTGCCCAAAATCGATTTAATTCCAGTATGTGAAGGTTGTATATATGGAAAACAAGCACGTAGATCATTTCCACACAGCTCATGGAGAGCATCACAGCCTYTACACCTCRTCCATGCTRATCTCGTTGGGCCYATGCAAACCATGTCATTGGGAGGCAGTAAGTATTTCTTAATGTTTACTGATGACCATAGTAGAATGAGTTGGGTATATTTTTTGGAAAGAAAATCAGAATGTTTTCAGAAATTCCGTCACTTCAAAGCTAAAGTAGAAAAACAATCTGGGAATGTTCTCAAAACACTACGCACCGATCGAGGAGGA